CTATTAGGTTATCAGGTTTTTCTGTATGTTTAAATTCTTTGCTAATATTAAAAGAGAGATTAAGTAGAGTTATGATTTATTTGATAAAACTAAACTTAATTAAGAAGTGATTAACATCTACATATTTGAGGTATCTATCTTATTGCACCGGCCAATATGATCCTAAATCTTTAATAAAAATATCTTTAATTCTAATACAATATTCAATTACAAGTATTTTTTACTATATAAGCTTCTTAAGGCAATTGTTTAAAGAATCTTTTTTTTAATTATTTAACCACTGATCTAAATTTAGAATATAACCCCGGATTAGATAAAAAAAATTGCGTACAAAATTGTACTAAATTATAATATACTAATAAGTATCCAAACTTTTACTACGAATAAAGCACATACTTGGGAACATAATCCACTAAAAATCTCAATTTCCGTTAGAACCTCTCTAAGCCCCGATTTGCTAGGCAACAACCCAGATTAAACAGAGAATCAAATTGGTCTGGCCTAATTGATAACAAAAAATTCAGGAGTAAAATTTAGGTTTCACAAACATTAGATCGTCATTTCCTCAAAATAGGGATCCGTTAAAGCCAGGTACGGTACATATAAATCTACATATTGCATAAATTCCATTCTTGATATCTTATATAAATAAAACTATTAACTGCATCAAAAAAAACTAACCCTAACGTATCTGGCTTTAAGCTCCCCTCAAAATGGTAGCTACTGTGAGCAGGGAAATGACTGCGACTCGGTCGCTCAACAATACCAAAAACTCGCGTAACCAAAGGTAAGTAACCTTACGAAAGAGGTGTGTTAGATTTGGCTAGTGGATGATTAAGGTTTCGGTTACTTGGATCAGCAAAGTTGGTGACAAGCATCCGGAAGGTTTGGGTCACATGAGAAAGAGGTTAAACGAACGAACAAAGTGTAACTTAGAACTTAGGGAGTGTGTTAGCGACGCAGTAATTTATGTAATATTATGAGTGATTTATTATTTAATAAAATTGGGACTTTTTTATTTTAGAAGCAAACGAGACTTGGTTTTCTCGGGGGCAATTAGGCCTTTTATTTATAATAATTTTTAATTATAACTTATTCTACTACATAAATTTCATTTTTACATTTTCTTTATTTAATTTTATTTTTCTAATTTATTTATTCAAACTATTTTAATCATTAAACCCCCTTTTGATATTAAATTTCCCTTTCGCGATATATTTAAGAAATGATTCAATTAATTGAATTAATTGCCGGGATGCCTATATTAAGCAACTGATCTGCATATCCGCGGCAAACGTGATCATCCGCAGCTTATCCGGATCACGATATTTGGACCTCACACTACCCTTCGAGGGGTTTTCTTAGCTTTTCTTAGTCCATTGCCATTATTGTGACGATTTTTTTTTGTAGATAATCAACAAAAAAATCTTTACTGACTTCAACATGAACTCATTCAAAGTTCATACTCTTCTGTCTCGCACGCACTCTATTGTGTTGCCAGTTAGGCTTTTCCAATCTCAAGTCGGAATGTTTAAACTCACCAGATCTCGCCAACTAGTATTGATTCGACTCTATAATAGTGCTCAAGAAAAAGACACGTAAGAAACATTAATCCAGCTGTTTGTGACCACTACCTCAACATTTATCCTTGCTTTTTCTAGACAAGCGGAAAAAAGACTGAAAAAGTATTGGAATTCATTCAAGACCGTGGTGACTGATCCGTCCAAGAAAGTGCGTTAGGTTTTTTTTTTGCTAATTTTTATCAACATTTTAACCATTTTTTTCTTTTAGTTTGCCAGTAAAAAAGTTTTATACACCATGGGCATTGGCCTTGTGATTTCTTATTTGTACTTCATCCATGAAAGTCCCAGAGCCCAGGACAAAAATATGGCGGATGTTTTCAAGAAGGGAAAAATCTATCGGGAGATCGATCTACCTAAACTAGTCAAACGCGAGAATCTTGAAAATGCACTGAAGGAGATTTTGCAACTCTCTTTCCAAAAGTACTTTCTGATTTCGGGCGAACATGGGACAGGAAAAACGACCTTGGTTCAAAATGTCATCTTGAATCTCCAAGAGCCAAAGGTAAATTATTCAATGTTTTCTTTCCTTTTCGATTTATTCACATTCGATTTCTTCTTGATAGGGTGTTATCCATTTTGAGTGTCCTTCGGATGTGAAAGAATTTGCAAAGAATTTGTCAAAATATCTTGATTGTCAGTTATATCCATTCAAACTTCAAGATATTATCATGCAGTTGACAACCAATGCAATAAGGAAAGGTACCGTGTGATTCTTTTTGTGCTTCATAACAATTTTCTTCACATCTATGCTCACAAAGGCTCCACCTGGCATGTAGAACAAGACGGTCATTCAGAATACTCTAATTGGAATCTCTTAAGCATGCAACTTCTCCGCACAGCGAATTACTATATGAAAAAATACAAACGCCCGATAGTTTTGATTCTTGATCAAGTAGACCGCATTGCTAAGGATGACCCAAAATTTCTGAGGATACTTCAAGATTTTGCAAAGGACTGTGCGGACAAAGGCACCCTTGTCATTGTATTTATTGCGAGTGAAGGCTTGGTTCCGCAAATTATGAAATGTAGAGATGTTATGATTTTGAATATTCTGATATACATGGCTGAGTTCTTACTAAATGTTATTCCTATTCTTTATAGCTCGCTCTGCTTGGTCGCGGGCAAGCATCCCCTTTCAAGTTGGTGATATCTCAGATGAAGAAGCCGTGAAATTTCTGCAAGATTCTGGTATTGATAAAAAAAAAGCTGAAGACGCAGTTAAATATCTAACAGGTGGACGGTTTACTTTATTGAAGGACGTCCAATTATTAAATCGAGTCAATCCTGATAATTTTTTTGAAAGTATGTAATTTGTTACAATTTTTGTTCCTTAACGTAAACATCTGACATTCCTACTTTTATCAGAATTCAAGAGGCAAATGTTCACGCAGATCAAGAGAGATTTGAACGCAGTGGAACTTCCTGGAAACCATGAATTTTTCATAAACCTCATCGAAGTAGATCGTATTGACATCGATAAAGCTAAAACTATTATACCTCTCAAGATGATTCATAAACTTATCGAGACTAATATTCTCAAAGAACATGATGACTACACTGTGTCCTTTCATTCACGTTATATCGATACCTATTTTAAAGAGGTAATTATTGCTGATGATATTGCGATCCATAAATATACTAACATTGATGAATTTGCTTTAGGTGAATAAATCCTAGTTCATTCATTTTGTGAAGTTAGATTGCACAAAAGGTATGCCAATCATAGACAGATGATAAATGTTTATAATGTACGGAGCGAAAATATTTACTGTCAATTTGATCATTTAAAACTTACTTTAGTATATGTTGGAAATAAACGCGATAGATGTTCATCATGTGAATGTTATTACAAGGTTGGAAGATGAAATATATGATTTTTGCGGGTTATTTTATTAATTTAATCAAACTCCTTTCTGATATATATTACCTAATCGCCTATAACTAACACCAGTTGACCGATGATGCTTCGCATCGAAGCAAAACCTCTTCAAGAATTATATTCGAGAATCAAATACCTGCATCCGAACACATAGTTAGATCGAAATTGTATTGAAAATATGTAGCCATGATACATTAAAAGTCTGATTATAGGTTAGGCACTTCGAACAGTTAATATCGAAATCATCAATGCGGTGAAAGATTTTACTTGTCCTATTTTATCCATCCCTATCTTGCTAAAAAGGTGAAAAATCTTTTGGATTTTCTAGTTTCCGGAGTGCTATTAGGGATTACATTTGTTTTTAACCCGATTCTGTGGTTTCGAATTGGGCTTCATTATTATCTGTAAGATGTCCTGAGAAAGCGGGCGAAGTCTCGCTGGTCATATCGATAAGTTTGAGAGCCTTTCTATTTCTACCTATATATTGTCTACCTACAAGAGCTAAACCAAAATTAGTTTATAAACCAAAATTACATTAATCAGCAGAATTGTACATCCCGAAATTTAAACGCAATATGTTATGCATATGGAGATTATTTTTTCTTTATTAATACAAAGTAAAAAATACATGTGAAGGAAAAACTATCTACTCGTTATTTTTTTTGATTGTTTTTTGCACCCGATACTTCTTACTTTCATGTTCATCGCACATCATATCCTATCATCAACGGCCCTATGACTACCCTAATTACTTTTTTAACGCCTTTCTGATCGATTCAATATCCTCCTTCAGTGCTGTTTTGGATAAATTAATCTGATATTTACTTTTGCTAGTACAATACAGGCCTTCCGTAGCGAGTTTAATAAAAAAATAATAATAAGTATATAATAGTGTAAGGGTTCCAAACCGGTTTTAAAATCTTCAACCGTGATCCGTCGGGTAAAAACCGGTTACTCGGAACTAAAACCGATTATCTAATTAAACCGGATCATATTGAGATTTTATTTTACATTATTACAGTTCTAAATAATCTGAATACCCGCTTAAGTTGATTATTATTATTATTATTTCACAAAAATATTGTCAAACGGTGATGGCACAAATACATATCTACTGTAATCCAAATTTAATTTAATGTCTATTTTATTAAGACTATTAGTAATGTTTTATGCAAATAAAATCCCAAGGTTCATAATATATCTAATACATAATACCTGATAGCCTAGTACTTATCTATCTCATTATAGTGAACTAGTAGTGCTATCGTAAGTATTCGATATAAGCTATATTGAAATTTTTTTTAGTCTGATAGCTTCATTATAACAAGAGTTACTTATAAGGAATAGTAGTTTTGCATCTTTGGTACTGTACTATCTTAAAATTTTTTAAATTTAGAAAAAAAATTTTTTATCGAATTTGATTAGATCTTCATTCAAAGTTTTAAAAATAAATTATTTTACAATTAGAAAACAAATTTATTTATCTAAGTATTTAAACTTTATTAAAATATCAAAATAAAAATCAATTAAAAATATTATTTATAAATAAAGATCATAATAAATTCATTAATAATTTATTTTTTTAAAATATGAATATAATTGTTTACATGTAAAATTATTATTTATATTATTAATATATACATTTAATTATCAGGCATGACAAGGTCAAGGTTAAGTTGCTTAGAATCGTTTTCTATGAATAATATAGCATGAAATTTAATCTTACAGTAAATAAAACATAACAATAAAACGTAATTTTTAATATAATACCTTTAATTGATGTTGATATTTGTTGTGTGTTAATAATTTTGCTAGAGTACATAGATCCAGGATGTTCGGATAAAATAGGTGGTAATTCTTTATCTGCTTTATCAGCATCTATGAATTTCTTTTTAATTTCATTTATTTCATTTTCCGTTGAAATTATGCTTTTATGCCATTTTGTCAGCATGTTATAGATATCAATCGCAATAGGTCGGTTAAGTGGATCAGAATCCATGCATTGCATTGCTAATTCAATATAGCATTCAGGAGTACTTGAAGCAAATTCAGGTCGTAATCCGTTGCAAATCTTTACTGCAAGATTGGTGCTAAAGTCATGACCATCAAAAGATCTTTTTCCAGTCGACATCTCAGACATGATGACTCCAAACCCATAAATATCAGCAGCTTCTGTAATAATCTCTTTACCTGATAAAACCTCTGGAGCGACATAAGGCATGACTCCATAAATACTACCTTTTGAAACATTTTTATCGATCTTTTTAGATAATCCTAGATCTGAGATGTAAGGTCGCATAAGATGATCTATTAAAATATTTCCACTGTGAAAGTCAGCATGGATATAATTTGCTCCATGAATATCAATTAAATCACTAGAAATATCACAGAGTATTTTTAATTTATCTTCCCAGATAAGTTCTTGAAACTTCATCTTTAGAAACTTGTGAAGATTTCCATATTCAGCATATTGAAATACCATCAAGTATCCGTTTGTTTCTTTGTCTTGAGTTAGTCCATATATTTCAAGTCTACTACCCCTTATTCTACACTCCATATGATTTTT